AGCAAAACTTCGTGTCACAGGCTCAAGCCAAGTAATGTGAACCAGGCTCAAGACAATGATAGCCTTACTTACTGGTCTCTGAGGAGTAGTGTTGGCTGCAGACTCTGTGGTGTTTCAGATGATAGTGATACCAACCAGCAAGAGAACTATGAGTGGTAACATACCACTAGTAGTCTTACGTACCACGTCACGCTTTTCATGGAAATGAGCTGCTTCCACCCTCGCAGCTAGTGCTGGTAGATTGACAGAAGGACTCCTGAGAGCTTCCACAATGACCCTCCATGTCGGTCTGAGCTGGATTTGCCTCGTGAAGGCAAGAAGAATGTGCAGCAGACGCACTTTGGGATCCTGGTATTGGCGGTGAATCGCCTCTACCTCGTGTGGCGGCAGTAGCTGGATCCCGAGCACTTCGGAGTGGTTTTGCGCCTCCACAAGCTCGTTCAACATTTTCTTCACGTCGGTTGATTCCAAGGTCTCATCTACGCGACCGAATACATTTTATAGCATACTCACTCTCTAAATATACCTACCTTCCGCCATCCTTGGAGAGAGAAAAGCTGATCGCTGATCGGCTGTGGCAGTTTGTGTTTATGTGGCACGCCCCCTACTCTGCACCACCCTCGCGCGCGTGCAGATCACGTGACTTTTGCTCACGCTAATTACTATACCAGCATATGCATGGTATAGGCTGACACTAAACACCCAAAGCTGCAACGCAGCATGTCCCATACAACCCTCCTTACTAGCATTTGCAATAGTGTGCTAGTGTACACCTTCAACTACACACACCACACAGACACGCAGAGAGTAGAATGTTTAAACCCTCGGCGCGCATGCGCACTACAGTATATACACTTGAGTACACTGGGTTCTGTGTAACCCCAATGTTCCAGCATGTGCTGTGCTCTTGGTGTTTTGCTGTGTTCTGCATTATTTAAAGTGCACTGCTGTTCAATGAATCATGAGCAGCAGCTATTTCGATCATGATATGAGTAAATATAGGGAAGTAATTAAAAAAAGGTTTATTAGTCTGTCATTAGTCAGTCATTAGTCACTCTCCTGCACTTGCTGCCCTCTCTTTATACACAGTTTCTTTGTAAAGGCTGGTGCTGGCCCCTGACTCCTTGTCTTCCAACGTACAAGAACATATAATATGTCATTTTAACCCTTGGCAAGCAAAGGGTTTTTAAAATATGCAGAAACCTTAATTAAGCATTAGTATTAGATTGAGTATCAAACTTCTTACACTTAAAAGTCACACCTTGTGGCTTTGTTTTTTTCGTCCTTTTTTTGTTCCAGCGACATAAATCCTGTAAACAACAACATGAAGGGTGACACATAGCTACAGGTTTAGCTACATACCTTCTGCCAACTGAGAATATTATATATAGCAGTGGCAGAATGGACGCAACACACAGAATATAAAGGCTTTCTAGATGGAGATCAGTTGGTTAAAGAAGAGGCACAAACGTTTTTACAGCAAGGTCATTTTCATGGCCCCCTGGGTAACACAATGGTCCTTTCATTGAGTAATATGTTGGGGCTTCCAATTATTATATTCTCGTCAGCTCATCATTACCATGTGAGAAAACATTTCACCTAGGGTGTGTAGAGCTGCAATCCAACTCTATATAGCATTTAATCAATGCGGTACAGGCCACTACGATGCTGTAGAACTAAAGAAGAGATCATTAAATGCGCACACTTTCAGCTCGTACTCCAGATATGAAATGCACATGTGGAAGAAGTGGTAAGCACCGTTCTACCATGCAGTGCCGTGGAACACAAGTACACGATGTCTATGCGTTGTCCCTGTCACTTAGCTGGTCGTGGATGTACACTCCAGGTGATATGGAGAAACTGGATGACAACCAGTAGCAGTGCACAGCTCCAGTTCGACCACGCCCCCTACTAAACTGTGACTTTTCAAGAATCTGCAATATTTGGCGAATACTGTCAGTCGTGCTAAAAATTTCTCTTTTTCCAACAGTTTTGAATGCATGTGAATATTTTTTTATTCCCCTCTCCCTGCCTTCTGCCGTCCTCCTCAGCTAACATGTTATTCAAGGCAGCTCTAAAGGAGACCAGAGCAGTTGAGGGTGATTCTATATCAGGCCCACCATCAAGTCATCAACCAGTGAAGGATGTACCTCATCCTTACCTCCTCGCTCTCGGAGTTCTCTCAGTGCAGAAGGTCCGTGTATGATACGTAGCTCTAGTTTCTAGTGTATGTAGCACAGTTAGTTGAGGTTTACATATCGTGTTGATGATTTGAGCTCCTGTCTAGCGAGTGCATTTAAAATTTTTTAAAATTCATTCTTGAAGTTGCACCCGTGCATTTATAATTTTTTTCAAATTCATTCTCCAAGTAGTCAAGTGCTCATTATGTTCATGTCTTCTAGATATTCACACCGTTTATATGCAGTTACTCATGTGCTTTTTAAGTCTTCCCAATAGCAAGCGTTCTAACCAATAGCAAATCTTCTGCAGCTGCAAGGTTCATTATACGACGTGTGTTTCAAAGACTAAGGAATGCATATATTGTAGGTGTGTATTTAAAGTACGTCACTTCCTTATGCACAATGGCGGGCTCAGACCCACTGTACCGTATATTATTTATGCACACTGTTGTTGCAATTGTAAGCATGTGCTTCGTTCGTTCGTGCAACCATGTCCTCAAGGCTCCTTCTTGAGTTCCGCACTCTTCCCTGCCTGAGAGTGGTGGATAACCGATGAACAGCAGCCTTCATGGCTGCTGTTCCCTCACTGCCGGTAAGAATGTTTTTACTCATTTCCTCATTTTCTAACCGCATCGTTGTATGTAAACTCGTGAATGTTCCGAGAGTGGGAGCCGACCTCGCCACTGCGAAGAAGCACGACGCGGCTCAGCCTTTCCAGATAATCGCCTGGTCCTCTTTTCTGAAAAAATTCTGCTCCCTCCTATAACCACCAACGATTCAGACGAAGACAGTCAGTTGATTGAGGAGGCAGACGTGCGACGGCATCAGTGAGTGGGGCGGTGAGGAGGTCGACAGCGCGAGTGAGGCGGCGGGCGGATAGGACACCAGAGTAACGCGGGCGGGGGGGCGGGCGGAGAGCCAGTGGGAGCAAGGAGGTGCTCGGTGACTGCGCACAAACGAAGCACCGACAAAGTTTTTGGGGATCGGTAATGAGAACAGATGGCATGGGGCACCGATTGCGCTGTGACATAGTCGATATTGTAAATCTGGACTCTGGGCCTGAAGATGATAATGAATGTCACCTGGAAGCAAAACACCCCTGGAGGTTAAGCCATTGTCACTTGAGGTGCGGCACCTCATCAGATGGTGGGGAATGTTGGTGACCTACAGCTTTGCCAACCAAACGCGCCAACCCCCACCCACACAGAACCACCCAACAAAAACCACCAACACCACAACCCAAACCAAAACACCACCAAACAACCAGACCCACTCAAAACCACTCCACCCCATCAACACCGCGGTAGCAGACACCACCCCCACAGCACACCCACACCACCCACACAACCCCGCCCCCCGCCACCCGCCAGCCGAGCACCAACCGCACCCACACACCACCCCCCCGCCCATCACACGCCACGCCCCCCCCCGACACCGACTCCGCGCCCATGCCCTAACCGGCCGCCGAGGCTCCCGCTCCATCCTCCCCCCTTACCCCACAGCCTGCCACCCCAGGAAGCACCGAAACCCCCCCGCCATCTCCACCCCCGCCGCACACCTTACCGGACCGGGCGGCAGCCTTCCAACACCCGGACTTGCCCCCTGTCCCTCCGTGAACCCGCACCTGGTACCATTTGGGGCTCTCATGGGGGTACAAACAAATTTAAGCTGATTGCATGTATGACTGTATGAAAGACGTTCTCTGCTACATCCACCATACAAACGTGGTTCAACAGCTACGCAGTGAAATCAACGAGGAAGGTCTAGTGATGATCTGGCTGATGTCTCTAGCACTCCCTTTTCCTCAAAAGTCTGAGCACAGAGGAGTTCAAACTGGGCTTTCATGACCGTTCAACCACAAATCAACCGTGATCAGCTGTTGGAATCACTATCGTCCTATCGACATTACGTTGTCTTTTGGCCACCATGGAATTCGAATCGTTTGCAAGGAGGAAGAGATGGAGACTCAACTCACTCGATTCAGCTCAATCCTGGGGACGTGATTATAGTGTCTACCACAAATATGTACGTTTGAATGCACTATGAAAGATTTTGAGTGTATGTATCTGAGGACAACTGACCACTGCTACAAGGGTGCGTCTGGAGAGCGTCCCGCGAATGGTGATGAAGGCCACATCTTACACAGGGTGACCGGTGAAATATCAAGACAAAATTTTCATAAGCGGTTAGTTTAGTTTAGTTCTGATACGCGGCGATGTGCTTTATATTCTTAAGTGTCTTATCGTTAGATATGAGAATGTTTTTTGTTTTTTCGTTGAGGAGGAGTGCCACTGTCTCTCACATGGTAGGCAGTTTGGGCAGTGAGCAAGCCGTCCATTCGCTCTGTAAAGACAGTACTGATACACAAAATCTGGCCCACTCAAGGGAACTTACCAATTTTGAGAGTTTCTGGGTGTGTGTCCAGTAATGCCTTACATACAAGTGCAAAACAGCTGGCGAGTCCTCCCACTATAAATCTAAGGGACGAAAACCATCCCTGGACGCTCCCAGGAGTGTTCCCTGGCTTCTTCTTTCCATTCTTTAGGTATACTATACTATTATTATGTGATCAATCTGAAGTGTTGCAGCTTTTACCCTTTCATCACGGAGTAAGGGTGAGCTACACCTACCCCCTCTTCTCTCTCTCTCTGTCTTACCCTCCCCACACGCACACTACACTGTTACTGACATGCAAGTGCATAATTTGCCTCGCACTGGCAACAGCTCATGCTTATTACCCAACAGATAGGCATGATCTCTGCGAATACTTAAGCCTCTTTCTCCAACATCTGGGTACTACTCATGCAGTAATTTCAGGCACCGTACAGCAGATGTCACGGTGTTAGCAAATCCCATGCTTGAGTCGGCCTACTGTATTGTAGATATTGTCTTAATTGGACCATAATCCTGTGTTTTGATCATAATAATTACAGCTGTGTAGGTGTGCGGCAGACTTAGTTCAGAATTGCAACTTTTGCCATAGGATTAGTTTATCATGCACAGCGCTAAAAGAATGATCATATTCACAATTAATTGCATTACTTTCAGGCCAGCCACAACTATAGTAAGACAATCCGGCAAGCTATATAGTATACATGTAGCCCACTAGTTAGTGGTGTTACGTTTCTTCATGACATAATTTTGATGGCTTCGTACGTACACTTATTATCAGTGATTTGAGCAGTCAGATTTGGTTTGCTAGTGGCACGTTTATTGTGTGCATCCGACTGTATGAAGTGAAGGCAAACAAATCAACTGCTCATGGGACAACCAGCGAAAAGAGCTGTCCTGGTATGTAGGGAGGCAGATGGCACGTGTCGTCTGTTAGCAATCCCATACTGAGTCGGCCTACTGTATTGTAATATTGTCTAATTGGAACACATTTATGGCAATGGAAAGATATGGCACAAAGTCTGAACACTATTTGGTGTTACTACTAAAAGCCAGCCATTCTACGGTTGTTGTAGATTGTAGTAAGAATTTTAACCCTTTCCTCACTCCTTTTAAGATCTGCCGTCAGAGGAGTTGTCTGATGACTATGATGATGAACTGGAGCAATTCAAAAAGTGAGTTATGGCCTCAAATTATAGTATATATTGTGTGAGGATCTCTGACATGTGAAGTAAGACTGCCCAATGAAAAAAGAGGTGCCAAAAATGGTTCATTTCGTCCTTTGAGAAAACTGAGAACAGAACATCTATTAGAGCGAAAAGTAAATACCTTCAACCAACACCTATGGCTGTTTTCACACACATTTAGTATCACTGTATGTAGCTAGAACATTATGGTACATATGTACAGTGTCTGTTAATACACATGCAAAATTAATATCATTGTTAGCCATTTTCCCCCGACAGGATCTGTTTTGCAGCACCTGCTGTGAACCGCAAGAGAATCGCTGTCTCGCTTGACATGAACGATCTCATGGCCAAAATGAAATAGACATTACATCATCATTACATCATTCTTGTACAAAAAAACAGTGACACACACAATGTCTCCAACTGTTTTGAGAGTTGAAATGTTGTGTATTATGAGATAATGGACACAAAAAGTGCATGAAACTATACAACAACACATTCTTCAACTATCATCTCCACCCACTATGATGATCTTGTCAGGTGATGTACTGGCTACTAAACACCACTCCTACCACTAGTCATAGAGCCAATCTCCACCCACTGTCCATCCACTAGCTGGTGAATGGAGTTGACTGGTGACACACCTCGCCCGCCACCAATGAGTACTAGCTGTCCACAGAGAGTGGCAGCTGTTGAGCATGTCACTGGTAGAGGAAGGAGAGGTTTCCAGGACAGGGTGAGAGGCGATGTGATTGGTTGATCACTGGATGGTAGGGCTCCAAGAGAACAGGAGTAGCCATTAGCATCACGTCCTATCACATTCAACTGATCGCCACATATTGTGGCTGAAGGGAGGGTGAGACGTTCTGGTAAGTCTGTTAGTTGGTACCATCTTCTGCTCTTCACTTGAAATAGTTCAACTGTAGCAGTCTGACTAACACCACCAACACCCCCCCAATCACAATGAGGTATTCACCATCAGATGTACTAACTACAGCAGTGTGGGAACGTGCAGTGTTCATTGGAGGGTATTTCTCAACCCATTTCCTCTGTCGTAGTGTGTATAGTTTGTTAGTAAAACGAGATCCAACATATCCCCCCACAGCAGTTAGTTCCCTGTCAATGATGACTAGTCCAGAGTTGTAATATGGACATGAAGGAAGTTCCTCCCATTTCTCTGTACTACATTCATATTGGTAAACTGAGTTGAAGTCATGTGGGGTGAAGTATGCAAATCGACCATCGGTTGTTGCAGATCCTCTGATCATTGCACATGGTGCTGTCTTCTTACGATGACCAATCACAATGAGGTATTCACCATCGGATGTACTAACTACAGCAGGAGAGGAATGTGCAGTGTTCATTGGAGGGTATTTCTCAACCCATTTCCTCTGTCGTAGTGTGTATAGTTTGTTAGTACGATGAGATCCATCATCTCCCCCCACAGCAGTTAGTTCCCTGTCAATGATGACTAGTCCAGAGTTCTGATATGGACATGAAGGAAGTAGCTCCCATTTCTCTGTACTACATTCATATTGGTAGACTGAGTTGGAGCCACGTGGGGTGAAGTATGCGAATCGACCATCAGTTGTTGCAGATCCTCTCTCCATTCTACATGGTGCTGTCTTCCTACGATGACACTGCACAGTGAGCTGAGGGGAGATCACATGACATGTAATGACATCATAATCATCAAATCTGGACCTCAGAATGTAACACTATGGCTGCATACATGTGTACAGTTTGCATATGTGTCATGCAAATTGATTAGGCGTAAATAATAATTATCGATTGCAGGCTAGGCAGCTAGTTTACAGGCTCACAATTCACCCTCCATCATTCTCTATGGGAGAGAAAACAAGTGCGTGACTTCTCTCTGTCTCTTATGTGTGGCACGACCAGCCTTGCGCGTGGCAACGCTCATCTCTCTCAGTGACTCTGGCTGAGTCTCAAATCTGATTATTTTCCACGTGCATATATACACTTTTTATACGGTTCACACGGTAAGATTACGTAATGAATAACGAGTAATGAAAAGCACTAAAGTGCAAACCCTAAATTGATGGGAGCTAGGCTATGCATTTACTAGCCCTAGTAGCTCGCGGAGAGTCTGACACGGGCTAGCTACACTAGTAGATTGCATGCGGGAGTTAATACACGCCGTCTGTTGCAATTTCTTATGCCTCCAAGGTACGCGGAGTAGGCCGTTCAGTTCGAGGTAAGCCAGCGTCATTATGCATATTGGCTTTCTCGCTTAGTTTCACGGCATATCTCTCGAACGCAGTCGTTTCAGGAAAATCGCCTAATTAAGTATCAAGTTCGCGTAGTTCTGGAGCCGTTTGTATCGCACATTGGCCACCTCGTAGCCTGTAGTGCCAGAATAAGCGTCGAAAACACACACAGACACACAGACACCATCTTTACACACACACACACACGGAGTCAAAAATCCCCTTTGCATCACCATTATTGTAGTAAAAAACCATGCGCATGCTCAGCCACCCACGCAATAATTAGATTACCACTACTCCACGCTGTGGTTGAAAAAGATGCCAACAGGTATGTGTATCTAGTTTAATCTTGTCACAACAAGGCAATAAGGGTGTAGGTAAACTTCCTGCGCATGCATACTACCTTTTTTACTGTCACAACCTAAAATAGGACATACAAAAACGGACAAAACTATATATACCATGACAAACTAAGAGCTTAGCAAGACAAACTGACAATACTGTGTCTATACCAGACTCCATTACGTGGGAGTGGTCCCGCCCCAGTGGTAGTGAGGCACAGGTCGGGAGATTAAAGGGACCGAAACCTGTGACCTACACGATGATCTGCTCTGGAGCTCCCCTGATGACTGGTGCATTAGATAAACGACAGACAAAGGAGACAGGGTTTGCTAGCTGTTAGGGGTGGGGATAGGGGTAGTGTAGCACGTGTACCAAATAATAATTATGTGGAAGCACACTGTGGTTTGTAACTCCATGCACAGCCTGAGTGTATGTCTGGTGGTCCGGCGCTTTGATGACGCCGACAAGTCCCCCCCCCCAGTCTCTGTCACTACACCTCGTTCCCCACAATTCTCTCCCCCTCCTTTCTCTTCTTAACCCATACCAAACACACACACCATCTTTACACTTGTGAGTATCACTAGAGTAAAATACACATCACCCAGGACCCTAGAGTAACAAACCCACTTCCCACTTAGGAAATTCCCATACCTATGACATCACAACTCCCTATAAATACCCCACTGTGCATTAGTAGTACCATAGGATTGCAAGACCCCCAGAGAGCCTAAGGTATGTGATTGTAACTACTTCAATACAGTACTGTAAGCTGTAGATTTTGCACGAGAGTCTGTGACATTGGATGTGTGGGGAGAGTTGGCTAGCCATCAAAGATCTTTAACCCACCGTCCCCAGTTCTCAAGGCTGGGCATCCATGTCCTGCTCTTGTGTTTGTACGAGTGAGACTGTGTAATTACAATGTGATAGGCTAGGGCTGCACAAGCGCAAAACACTGAAGCAGAAGTGGGTACCCTGGTAAATCTAAAAATACATGTAATTTTGACCACTGAGCTGCCGCGTGTAGTGAAGTTGACAAAAGTCTCCCAGCCTCTGGTCTCATTGTGTTTGGTCACTTTCCTTTCTCCCCCTTTCCCTCCCTTTCTCCTCGATCACCCCCAACAAACACACACACACAGACAGACAGACAGACAAACCAACTACTGTAACCCTCGCTGCGCATGCACGCCGAGGGTTAATAATTATGGTACCGTAGAAGGCAGAGAACACCACTGCACATAATGGCGATGGAACCATTTTGTGTCATGTGCCAAGTTGTGCACTGGTATTCATTCTCTCCCATAGTGTATGTATGTGCACTGGTATCCCATAGTGTATAGTGTATGAATACGCCATACAACCAGACACCAACACAATCAGTAAATTTCTAGGCATTTCTAAAGGCCTCATGATACTCTACCACAACAGTTATCAATGTTAATGTTGCCTACCTTTCGTGGTTTAACTACAGGTGGTATGGCATGGGGTACAGCTGTTGCTAGGTGAGCAGGCTGGGTCTAACAAAAGAGGGTGGAAACACAGAGCAATATTCACGGATATGATTCATAGCCAATGAATAAAGGATTGTTTACCTTCGTTCCTGAGTAACTCCGCTGGAGGGCCTTCTGGAAGTCAGCCACTAGAGCCTCACTTGATCGCAGCTGTTCCTCCTGCAGTCAGGAGGACCTCTAGTCACAAAACATGACACATCCTGCAGTTATCACTATTCACCTTCTGTCTCAGTTGCTGCTGAGTCTCAGCTAACTCTCTCTCC